AATCCGAAAAAGAAATACTTTTATAATATATGTAGTAAGCCATCTATTGACAGAAATCTTTTTCAAATTTAGCGAAATACGAATAATTACAACAATTTGTAGAAGTGAACATTTCAATGAATGCAGTAATTTTTCACGTCAAAAACATTTTGTAAATCAATTTTTTTTTTTAAATTTCCAAATAACTTTGGACAAAAATGATGTGCTAGTAATTTCCTATGTATTACAGGTAAGCAGTGAAGAAATTCTGGCACTCAAAATTTTATATTAAACTGTCATGAATTCCCTCAAAAAACAATTTTGCAAACACTTCCGTTGGCAAAAATTCGAGGCATCACATTACTACGTACATGTGTCCTCTTGCTGACTTGACAACACCACGGTTACCAGTCAGCTCTTAGATCATGTGACCTGCTATTTTACAATATCATGACAGTTCTATTTATAGCGACCTAGTTTAAAAAGTAAAAATAGATCAGTTGGTGTTACTCCATTCACAATACATGTTCCAGGGTAATCAATTGATTCCAGCTATATAGACATCAAGACAATAATGTAGGAATTCCATTCTTTGGATAAAATTGAATAGAATATATAATACAACAAATTTTATATTTCTATTTCAGTAATTGTTAAAACTCGGTCCCACTATTTACAGTGTCACTCAATGTCAACAACATAATTCACCATGAATCAATAATTCAAGTTGACCTTTATAAACAAAGACAAACAGATGTTTCAACGATTTCTGGCAAACTATTTTATTTCGTATTTGTATATCACGTGTATAATGTGCGTATCCCCACAGTGTGACGTAATACAAGACAGATCGAAAATGAAAACCTCACATATATACTGCTAAATTTGTTTCAATGTACGCAATGCCAGAAGGTTGTCCATAGCTTTCAGGCTAATATATGGACTGATAACTATGGATTTTAGTAAAAACATACAGGGATAGCTAAAAGAACTATACATGACAGCAATGAAATGTGAATTACCAGTTGAAAAAGATGTTTTCCTGCAGAGAAACAAAAATGGCAAGCTCATTATTATGCACTCCCTCTGAAATAACATTTGATATTGAAAATAATCATAGAAAATTGAAGCAAATATTACAAACAAGTGAAATCTCCACAAAATGTATTTAATAGATTTGTGTGAAATAGAACACTGTGGCATCAACAAGATTAGCATACGAAGCCCACGCAATGATATTTACTCATATACAGTGTTATTTCAGAAATAGTTCCACTTTCAACACTCTGCCATTTTTTTTACTGTGATAATATATAAACCCATGATATTTTTTCTTTGGTTGACATCAGCATACACTCGTTATTACCGCCAAAGTAAGATGAATCTTCGCCTGCAGCTCGGATTGATACAAAAGTCTGACAGTAATCGCTTGTGTCTACTGACGTCAATGTAACAGAAAATATCGCAGGATTTTATATACAATATTTATTTATACATTGAAATTTATTTGTTAGTATAATGACAACAAATTTTTTTCTTTTCACTATGTGTAATTTTATAAATATATATCCCTTCATATTCAAATACCGGTACATTTACATATTAATATCACAAACTGTTTAATTTTCACTGCGCAAAATGTTCGCAATAAAATAATAAAATTCACAAGAAAAGTTTTATTGCAAAAGTGGCTGTGATGCCATGTCTTTCTACACCAATTGAATTTTCGTTACTATAACAGTCTGAGAAAGACCGTGATTTTCAATAACATGAAAAGTATTCTTTCATTTAACATATGTTCATATGCCCAATTTTCTGTTTCTGGAGAAGAGGAAAAGTACATTCTAATTGTTCTAACTTAGGCCCTATGTAACATGGGATACATTTTCCATGGCGCTTTGAATTTTAGCTATTCGCAAAGATGTAATTTTGTGAAAGTTACTCCTATGCCCTGTCTAAGATACATGTACCACAGTTCACTCCCATAGAGTTGTATCAATTACACAGACTTGTTTTATTAAAGCAATTTATAGCAAGCTACATTATTCCGTTCACAAGAATGTTGAATTATGATGTGAAACCTTCCGTGATAATGCTCAAAATGTCTGCGAAACGTAGGATACAAGGTTTGTGCTTATACAGTATAGTATACATGTAGTTTGCATTCAGTGATGTGTAATGCACTTCAGTCATACACTTTATCGATGATGTGAAATCTAAAGCAGCAGTCCGCTAGGTTTTCTGACAACATGCACTAAAATGCTTGTGGTTCAAACATTTTAAGTTTCATAATCATGTCCCACGGATCTAAACATGAACAAAAATGCGTTAATTTTGTAACCGTTGGATCATCAAAATATAACAGTATTTTAAAAACCTCAGGCACTGGTCGATTAACAATTATATTTCTTAAAAAAAAAAGAAATATAATTGTTAATCGACCAGCGCCTGAGGTTTTGAGTTAGTCAGAGTTAGTCACATGTTATAAATGTTATCACCTGGTATAATTTATTCATTTAGCGCCAGTTCATTGTTACCGTAACACTAGCCCATGATGTCACTTGTATCAACGTGCTCAACAAACATGTGATATCAGGTGATAACCTCATAAAAGTGTCACAGTCGTTGTGCATTGCATGTGTGTGAATTCCTTATAAACATTGTATTCACACTGTATCACATGCATTGTATATGAAACACTACACTGTATAAACCACAGGATGTTTTTAAACAAGAAAACTTACCACGAAATGACCAGGAATCACATGTGGCCACAGTCTTCAACTGTGACCTGTCTGATAGTAATTTTGGCCTCAAGGAAGCCATAAAAAGCTCCATTTTAACCCTGGTAGGGATAACCCTATCTTCCCCACTTGGTGGAACCACTGAATTTCCGTGCTCCCTCTTGCAGTTTTTTTCTAGAAAAACCACAGAACCAGCAGCGGGTGTCCCAGGGTTTCCATCGTCGTAACAAATTACATATTATCCAATAGTCACATGTTCACTGTTCTTTCTCTCATGTTTTCTAACATTTTCAGCAATGATAATAGTTTTTTTCTACTGTCTTTTGAGCCATGTGCATTATTTTATAACAAGCACCTAAAAACTATAAAACTCACTTGATACAGAGAAAAATCCCTTTCGTCCAGAAACACCTCGTTGGAATAAATCAGCGATTTGCAGAATCAGGGGAAAAAGAAATTGTCAAGGTTTTACTGAAACATGTCACCATACATGTAATGTACAACAGCTGGTAAAGGCACACATCACATATGTATGAATACCCCCGGATACTGCATCAATAAAAATACATTGCAATCCTTGAAATGCTTTATATTTCCTGCTGACTCAGTTACAGTGAGTTTCATTAAGGCATGAATATTTATTTCAATGGAAGTTTATGAAATATTTATTGAACACTTTGCCTGGATGGCCCTTGCGATTCATTCAAAACTAAAGAAGATGCTTTTATTTTATTAAAAAACTATTTGGAAACACCCAACATCTTTCAGTCGTTGGCCGATTTACTGCAATATGAAATGTATGCATCCATGAAAGCATTGTGATTGGTTGAGCTGTTTTCAACCATCATTTGAAATTTATAAAGCATTTATAGATATTTTTTTATAAAAAAACATTCATGCCTTGATGAAATGGAGTGTATTAGATATTTTTTTTTTTTTAATTTATTTACTTATTTAACTGATGTTTTGTCTGAGCTAGAGAACAGTTAGTACACTTTTTTATGAGCAATTACTGACAGAATATATTGCGTATATATCGAGTTTGGGAATACGTGACAGGGCTGTGTGACCATCTTCCTTTAAGCTGGCATTTTAATACACTATCCCGGTGCCAGGCAATTCCAGTCAAACACAATTACCTCAAACGAACCTGAACCAAAGATTCCCCAAATCAAATCCATCAGTGCACACAGGATATTTAGATCTGATTGTTATACTATCACATATGTAGTTATATAACAGGCACATACTCTGATACTTAAACGGATCAAGTATGAACTAACAAATTGAGAGACCTCATTGATATCGTTGACAAGGATTACAGCTGAAGAAATCAAGAAGCATGTACACATTTATCGATGTGTGTCATTGGGTCATTCTATTACCATATTCATCAACATGCCCTCAGCAAGCTAACCATTCGATTCATTGTCATATTCGCGTGCATACACGCACAACTGGAACGTTGGGATATAATTTACAATATTGTTCATTTTGCATAATTAATCGACGAAGTCATGACATTGAACTCAGAAATATTTAGCGCATTCTGTAGCTGAGACTGACTGTGGCATATGAATAATGAACAAAATTAATTTATATGAAACACTTTTCAAAAAAATGTCATCAATATCATCGAAAAAGAATTTCCAAAACAGTCATAGACCCCTTGTATATATGGTCCTAAATACGTGTTCACAAACTGAACATAAACTCTATAACATATTGCTACATTAATGTAATCTGTAATTATTGATAATATTAGTATTGTTAATTATTTTTTGCATGGAGGAGTGTATTTATAATTAGTACTACCCATCCTCCTACTCATTTAACAGTATTTTTTAAGTGGAAATACAAAACCAATCCTTTAATTTGTCCATTCCTGAATTGTATAAGGCATACACGTAATTATTTGCTAGGTTTTATCTCTGCTTATTTCACTAATTGCTCAATGCACTAAGTGATTATTCAAATTTAATCTTAGAAAGTATTTGTTTTCTTAACAAATCAACTTAAACCTAGTGAATATCTCTACAACTTTAAATTAAGCCTGTTGCTACGTGCGTGCTGTGTGCATGCAAATAGTCAAAATGGCCTACAAAAGCGCTGTTCAGACCCACCTCGCATTCTATTGTCTTGGCATTGTATATTGACTGTTGTGAGTAAAACCACATGTATTTATTGAAAAAACCTATAATTTTTTCGCACTGAGTGTGTATTTTGAGAAAAGGTTGTTTGAGCCAAGGAAATGACTGTCCAGGCAAAAATACTTACTAATTTAAAATATGATTTTCCTGGGCCAAATATCTCAATACCAAATAGCTCAGATGCCATACTGATAATCATTGTTTTACTTCAGAACAAGGTTTAACCAGAATATTATTGAGAGGTATATTTGACACATTGCGGGCAACACGTACGTTAGACTATACAATTTACCTGACAGGGGGTATCAGCTGTGATTACGCAAGTGTGCTTACATATGAGACACAACCTCAAAAAACAATAACCAAGGTCTTTACAGTCTAGAACAACAAAATACAGCATCACTGAGGTCAATATTTAAGTTGTTTGGTTCTGCAGACAGCAAATAATAAGATCCTGTACTTGAGGCACTTATGAATGCTATTTTGTTGTCCCTTTTAGCTATCAACTCTAAAATTTAACCCAATCACCGTCCCTCAACACCCAATGCAACATTTAGTGGTTTCCAATATAAAGGTAAACTAAGAATTCCTTGCAAATATGTGTTGTCTGTAGCTCGGGTCAACAACTGTATGATTGAAATAAAACATTAGCTAATTACATATACAAATGATGTAATTCCGTCAGATCTAAAGTGAAAGTTAAACTCCTCAATATGAAGACTAGATATTATTTGGCACAGCACTGTGACGGCAGAGGTACGGATTACTAACTTCATGAATAGCATAACAATGACGTAATAACAACAAACTTACCTGTTCAACTTGTTACGTAACAGCGTATTGTGACCAACACACGGAGCAAGTCAGACACTGATATATCAGGGGGTAAACGCAATAATTTCTCGAAACTGAAAGGTCAAGCCGACGGCAATTTGAAAATGTTCTTCGCTTAAGTTTGACATGTGACATTCGAATGACATTTTACTGTTTCTGCCCACGCGTATTTTTAGTCTCTCGCTGAGGAAAGTGGGCGCTACTGAAAGTCACACGGCATCAGTGAATCGTGAGCACAATCGATCTCGAAATAAAATAATTCACAACCGGAATTACAAATACTTCCTGTGATTTGTGTGGGATTGTTTCAATTATCACTACGTGGAATACTTTTACAAATCGCTGACGTATACTTTTAATGTTACATGTTTGACGTTTCTATGTGACAGTGCTTTACACTTGATGGAATATCAAGCTCAGCTGTCAACGGGAGAACAACACACACCTCCCCGTTCCCAGGGATATTTGGGGGAATTACGCACTCGATCGGTTTAGTCATATTAATATTATCAAAATGTGTCGATCCAGTAAAATTCTCAGGAATGTTTTACATACCCTTCCCAATCGATCTAAAGTGACGACGGCGGCTTTCCTTACCATACAACCATTTTCTAAATGATGAGATCGGCCATATTGAAGTAAGTGCAACGGTTCAACCGATGGCGGCGCTATTCAATAAACAGACACCCACAACATTGCGGGGTTAAAGGTTAAACTAAAACGAGTTAGACAAAGATGATCGGATTAGTTGATGGACGGAATTTGACCCTAGATACTGTCTTTAATGGTCACATTCCCAAATTCTTGAAAAAGTATGCATAACTGTTCGAAATTATGCCAATCGAAAGTAAAAGTAAAAATAGATGATGATGTCAACTTTCTATTTAGGAATACTCTATAAACTGGGATGGGATGGACTGTAAGATTTAGTAAAAAAAAACTAAATTTATAGTGACTGGAAAGAAGAAATAAATTACGTTGACTGCATAATATAACGGAACCGGGGAAAATATTAATACAGGTACATGTGAATAAAATATTTCGGGTTGTCGGCCTTGTGTACTATTCCTATCCTCAGTGTACGTATGCGATCTAGTTGTGACGCTGACAACTGATTGGTAGTGCTAAAGTTAAAAATTAAACTGAATAAAAAGTTAAAAAAATAAACAAATAATGCATTGTAACTGCATTTTACACTTCATTCGTCGAGTTTATTTTCTAAGGGGCTTTCCCCATAACCACCAGGTACCGTAAAGAGGCATTGATTTTACGACAATGGGGTTTAGACCCGTATAACATGGCCGTTACATACACACTCAGTGTACTTCAATTTCGTTACACTGTATTATTACTTAGTTATAATTTTTAACTTTGGCGTTCTCAGTTTTTGTGTAATATTACATCGCATTCTGGTATATTTACGCTTTTTTCTTCTGTACGAAGTATAACACGGAAAATAGTTTCGTCAACCTTTCACTATTAGCAGTAACATTGATTAGGGGGTCGGTCATTCTACATCATGGGGTGGCCAGAAAAAATTGCAAGCTAGACGCACAGAGATTTTTTTTTTGCAGAGAAAACATGATGTTGGAACATTCAAGAGAATTAAAAATATTCAGATAGGACGATGCCAAAAAAAGTGCAGCGTCCGTGCTCTTCCAGCCACCGCCTACAACCCCATGATTTCAAATGTTTGACCCCTAGTGCTTCCAACTATTGGGATAAGTGGAATGGTAGTTTAATGGGTTTAACGGGAATGGGTGGGGAATAGTTAGTATAACCACGTCTATATCACCACTTGTATTCTCTCAGTTCCAAGTCCAGTTATTTTTTTAATGGTGTAATTATTACATTCTGACGGAGGTTTCGATTGAGTTTACGTCATACTGAAAGTTGTTATGAAGACCTGGTATCAGGATCACGCGAGTATACCGTTGGTGGCAGCACACATAATAAATAATGTTAACCGCGTTTCGCAGTATAGACTGAGGTTAACTATTGTCTGTTCGTGATGACAATGGCGTATTTAATGAAACTTTCAATTTCTATCTGGTGGCGTTACACATTTGTTTTGTTTAAACGTTTTGGCATGAGAAACCATGATGTAAGAGCTATTAACAGAGTGTTTTTTGTTTCAGGCCTGAGCCTGGGCCTGAGCCTGAGCCTGGGCCTGGAAAACGTCCTATTAGGCTGAAGAAGTATTACTTTGTTGAATCGCACAGCGAAAATACTACTGTAACAATCAAGAACTTTGCGTATATCAAGAATGGAAACACAATTATCGGCAAGGAAGAGTCACTTTTATATTTGTTTCCCTTATTTGTTTGAATGTTTGCTTAGAGTCATGTTTATACAATTACCTGGTCGCATGTTACAGCGGGTTACGGTTATCCAACCATCCATCTTTTTATTGATAGTCTATCCCAGCATAATTTTTGTTGAATCCAGGGAAGACTCTGTATCTGTAAAAATGTTTTGAAGTCGCTTTGTATGAAATTATGTACAGTTTTGTTAATTTCAAGAGTTTTTAATTTGCTATGTTATTTACGAAAACCACAAGTTATTTTTTATTTCTCAGTTAAAACTGAGCAGTA